GCAAGGCCCATCCTCTCACCATGGTGATTAGGCATTCCAAGTGTGCAAGGCAGCCTCGGCACACATAAAGAGAAAGGGAAGCTGGAGACCTGAGGAGGCGAGCCAGGCCAGATGGTCCTGCAGCCGGCAGCACTGGAGCAGCTCACACCCAACTCTCCGCCACGTTAACGGCCCAAGCCTTTCTTTATGCCAACATCACAATTAAACAGAGCAAAATGGCAAGGAGGTTCAGCAACAGTTTGCTGAGGGGATGGGTGGCCACAATGCAGAAGGAAAGGACTCTGACAACCCGAGAAAATGTAGTTTACACTTCCTTACTAAAATATGGCCCATCACACAGATTCTTTTCTTGAGAGGTAGAACTAATTTTCTACATTTAAAATTCACCACAGATATGCATTTAGCCATTCTATTAGAGATACAGCCATTTCCATAGGATACCTTTCTACTATGTTTTAAAAAAAGACCTGATATTAGATCATGTCTAATACCTTTTTAAAAGATGGTTTTACTTTTCTTCTTTTAACAACCCTCAAGTACGGCATAAATTATTTAAAAAAAGAGTTCCTCAGCATGTAACTGTAAAACAAGCAAACAATGCATACATTTTGAGTGTTGGATGATTGGAATACACCCCCACCTTACTTTAGACCCTAGTGTAAACACCTGGTCAGCCTCTGCTCTACTGAGGTAGCCAGAGCTAAGATGACGCTTGAGTCAGTTGTCTAATATGCTAAGAGAAAAGAAAAACCAGAAATTAATACATTATTGTATTAATACATTATTGTTGTTGCTACTTGGAACTTAAACTCAACAGCACTTTGACTTTCTTAAATATTTCCATTGATTATTGAAGTGATTTCCAAAACCAATCCAAATACCGAGGCCTAATAAAAAATTGAATGTCTTCTGTGATATAAAACTGTAAGAAAAATTGAAGTAAGAATAAGGAGACAGAGTTTTTCCACCACCCCTAACAGTCTTAAACTGACCATTTCATTATGGGACATTATAAAAGAAACTGCTGCTGATAAATTGTAAGAAGAAAAATTGCAAAAATATCTAACATACAGTGTTTCATCCACAATAAACCAAACTTGAATAAGTGCAATAAAGGGGAGGGAACAGTTCAAATAAGCACAATATGTAGGCTCAAAATAAAGGCCAAGGCCCTTACAGTGCCAGTTCATTGGGGATGGGGAGCATGAGGTTGGGGAAGATTCATGCATAAGGTAATAAATTTTGAAGATCCCATTAACAGAAAGAAGAACAGTGCTTTTGCCAGTGGTACATTTTGGTGTACGTGATCCAGCTGTTGTTAAGGTCTCTCCACTTTTCTCTCCTGAAAGGACACACTCTGATTATTAGTCTACAAGGCCATCAGTAGGAATTAGAAGATAAAGAAACTGTTTTTTAAAAGTTACACTGATCTGTTACACAGAGATAATGTTTAAATCTATTGTACCTGGATATTAAGGTCAAATCACTATTTTAAGAATCCAATAGAATGTATCTGCAGATGCCTCTGTACTACACATGGAGTGTAAACCATCTTCCCCCATGTGATTAACACTCAGTGAACATATAAACATAGATACCTGGATAAAATATTTATCTTCATAAACAAATTCTTTATTCTTCAAGGCTTTTGTGGAGAACTCCTGTGGATTCTTTTCCGGAACACAGGGAAGGAGAATATTTACCATATACTGATGCACTGAAATATTCTGAGAGGCAGATTGTAAAATTAAGCTTTACATATATTCACAATGCACTTCCAACGTTGTCACTAATTTTGGGTAAACTTTTGTATATATAAAATGTAAAATCTGTAAATATAAAATCCACAACAGCTATGGTTCAACTCAATATATTACGCCATTTTTTAAAAGATCAAAACATATCCAGAAGGCAGTACTCAAAGCAATGTTGACTGACCAATGTAAATCTTAAATAACTTCTCACATGGGTAGGGAATCAATCTAGATTTACACGACTAATTAACAGAGATAAGACTCTTGTCTCCAGAGAATGTAGACATACAGTATTGTTCTTAGTATCTTACTAATAAAATGAGATGCCTGTATCTATACTTGTATAGTGATACACTTTGCCCTTCATTAAATTCCATTAGCTTTGGATGGCATTCCTTGTTTTTTTAAAACAAAACAAATACCTCCCACAGTTTCCACAAGTTCTAAGCTTGCTGATTTGTATTATTTTTTATTAAAAACAAATAGAGCAGTGAGTGAAAATGCCAAGTTCAAAATTATAAGAAACAAACAAAGAATAGAGTCTGCTGGTGCCAGACAAAGAATGTTATGTGTTGTGATTGAAGTTATTCACACATCATGCAGTCTGATCCCATTTCAGTATATGGAAGACTGCAAATAAACAGCCAAAATATTTTGCAGAGCGCCTCTTGGAGACATAAGGTTTGCTAATGCAATGATTTTTACTAGCTCCATTAATACAATTTTGCACATCAGTTTGTCTATATAATTGTTTCTCTAAAAAGTATTGTAGACAGTTGGAAAAAAGAAACCTTATTTCACAGAGAGGTTTATATATGTTATATGTATTTTTAAAAATTGAGACACATTTGAAAGGGCTAAATAGCTAGGAATTTATAAAAACCAATATGCCACATTTTCATTCATATGAATATGCGTGAATTCCTCTGGTTCCATTTAGAACAGTAGAATCATCAGAAATCTATCTCCATCCTCAGCCTCATACTAGAAACTATCAACAAATAATCTTTCACACATGAGTTATGTAGTTTTCTTGTTCATGATTCTGAAATATCCAAGAATATATGTTCTATGAAAAAAGACCTAAACATGCCAAGGGTATTTGAAGGTCATAATTACATATAACCAGGTTTGTTGCTCCTCAGATAAAGATACGTGCATATTTTTACAGATAAATAATAAAATGTCTTTAAAACTCATGATTGTTAACATAAAGCTTTAACTAGATGAAGTCAATATTCAACCCCAACACTTAACCTAATCATTGCTAAGTGTAAAACCTATTTTATATTTTACCTGGGCAGGCTGGTAGGAAGCCACTTTTGGTCTGTTTTTGTTGAAACCGAATTTATTTTTCATAGCAAAGAAAGGAAATATCAAGAATGAACAGACTGGAAGGTTAAGATACAAAAACCTATTTGTAAAATATTTTTTACTTTTGTTTGTAAAAGTCTATATATCTCCTTCATCCTTTAAATATGTTTTATGTGGTTCCTCCAAACATTATCTGAGAATTCATGAAAATATTTGTATAGAAAAACCACTAGAAAAACCCTAATTCTTCTGAACTGTGTCCACATTTAAACACATGTTTACCTCTGAGTCAATCACTTTCTAAACACTGTTCAGTGAGTTCATAAAATATTTGTTCATTTATTCCACTATTTAACAGGAGCAGTTAGCAAGATGAAGCAATTAATGCACTCTAAATATATTTAATTGACAGAGCCAGCATTTTGAACATGACTTCCAATATGCATAATCTGCATTAATTTCATATTTGTAAATTGTTATATTTACATTAGTAATGCATACTGTTTTAAATTATAAAACATCTTTACTCAGGGCAAATCTATCTTTTCTTACCTTTCAAACTTTATTATTATTTCCCCCACCTTTTGATACACACACACACACACACACACACACACACACACACACATATTATTATCTCAAACATCAAAGACAAGAACATTTAGGTGGTTCTCACTCAACTAAGCCACACTACGGAAAAAGCTCATAAGCCTTAAGTGCAACATGTAGTTTTGTCTTTGAGGAAGCATTCCACACAAACACTGACATAAAAGACAAACTCATAGCATATTTCAGAACCAACGAGCGATGGATTTATAAAGCAGGTTGACTTTATGGTGACTTTTATTGACAAGGTGCGGAGGCTTTTGGCAGATGCCTCGTAGCACTGGGAAGTTAACACAGTGCCTAATTCAAGGAGACAGCCTGAGGAAGCAGCACAGACAGGGAGAGAGTGGAACTATGTCTCTATTACTCTCCTTGGTGTCATAAAGAAAAAGAAGAAAAATGGTATCCAACAGGGAACCAGGGAGTGCTCCAATGTTTTTTCAAAAGGGGCTGGAAATCCTTATTTTTTTTCTCCATCTTATCACTTCTTCAAAAAATGAAAGAAAAGGGACAAAGCAGTGTGAGAAACTACAGAAGGAACTAATGGGAAGCAAGGGAGGGCAAACTAGCTTAACATCTAAACTACAGTATGCTTTGAAATTGGAAGAAACCAGCCTGACTCGAACACTGCCTTATCATCAATATATTAGATAAGTACTTCTTGATCTACTTTCCCCTAATGAGGTAACTCACGGCATTTAATAAAGAAGGGATTACTTGGAGAGAGGAATGCTCCAGTAGATCTTAGATGAATTGGGTTCAGCTTAGCTTAGTCTGTGAAATATTTTCACTTCTGGAATTCTACTTTTGCACTTTTAGAGGGTATTACAGAAAATTATTGTATATTAGTGCAAGAAGTTCACCCTGCGTAATACATTATGATATGTCTTAATTTCTCTGTTTTAACAACAGAAGTTAGATTAGTTTACTGAAGTCAAGTCTAATTAAAAAGAAACATGTTTTACACTAATATCAGGGTAAAAGAACTGTATTTTGTTACAACTGGCATCAATTACATAAGGACAGAGGTAGAAAATAAAGCTCACTATCTTCAAAAACTGAGTTTCCTGAAATAAATGTAGAGTCAGACCCCCTCCTACAGAAAGTTTCCCTCTTTCTGGAAGGTTGGCAGTTTTTCTGCTAGTTGGAACTCCAATCTAGCAGAAAAGAAAAATTATTTTGTCTAGATCTCTTCCTCTGCAATTCACTAATATTTAAAGGAAAATAAGGCCATATATAGTTTGGCCTCTTTAGAAACCTCAAGCATTCAGAAGCATTACCTGTTGAGGGTTTAATAGCCGAGTTAAACAAAGCTAAGGTACTTACATCTATCATTTCGGTCCTCTGGACTAGATGAAGTCTCCCGGTCTGAAATGAGGCCAGAGACAGCAAAGATCTTTTTTCCAGTATCATCAATTTTGAGGGAGCCGGGAGAGCCAGATGGAAGCTGGGCTCCAAATTCATACTCCTTGCCATCAGCATCTGAGAAGCGAAGGTGGGGAGAGTCGGTATCATGACAGTTCTTCAGGCGCTTGGCAGGTGTAAAAGCCGACTGATAACTCTCCCGGTCCTCAGTGGAGGCAAAGGGACGGAAGGCCCCAACACCACTATGGTTCAGCATGCTGATTGGGGTACAGTCCAGATTAGGGGGCGCAAACTGAGGATGTAGATGCAGTAATGAAGGTGGAAAATCACGGTTGGTGAATGCTCCAGGCACCCCACCTTGTCGGTGATACATAGAGGCAAAAGTATAGGAGCCATTGGTGAACGGGATGTGCACATCCTTGTCCACTGACACAGGGACCCCAAAGGGCCTGGGCTGTTGGCAGGGGATGGAAGCATCACGGCTGGCTTCAGCAGTGGAAGCCAGGACCATCAAGGCTGGAGATGCCAAAGGATTGGGAAGGTAGGAGGAGTTTTCCATCTTGAAAGCTGCCCGGTGTAAGTCCATTGGAGTCTCTTTTCTTGACAGGGCCACAAGGGAAATGGTCTTCCCTGGATGGAAAACAAAGCGATGTCTGGATGTACAGCTGAGAGATCTCACCGAATCCTTATCACCATTCCAAAACTGAAAAGACAAAGAAGGGGAAAAGAAGAAAAACACAGAAAGTTGAATTAACAGCTGGCAGTTGTTAATATAGCAAGAAAATTGTAAAAGACTAAGCCAACTTTCCACGTACTGTTCTTTTAGAAAGCCAATAAGCAAGTTCACATGTTACTAGAAGTGTCTCTGACTCCCTCTAAGGGTCTGTACAAGTCTTCCTCCTTTTTTTTTTACAGCTTTAGCATTAAACTTAAGATTCAAGAGACAGTCCACCCAAGGTAGATAAAATGTGGCACAGAAGACCTAAAAGCCAACAGAATCTGTGTCTTATGCTGATAATGCCACCTACTCTGGCCTTGCTATCCTCCTCTTCTGCCCTACAGAAGGATAACGGACCAGTGCAGATTCAGATCAAGCCACATGTTGAAGTGGGGGTTGAATGATTTGAACAAGAGTGCAGTAACTATCTCTAGTGACAAATTAAACATATATTATTCCTGCCAGACAAAAATACTGGAACCAAATATTCTTGGAATATGTAAACCTATGACTACAACATCTGAAAATATCAATAAAATAAATGAATACATTATTCAAAAATTATAAATGAAAATGTATATACTTCATGAATATACAAAAATATGAAATAGATGCAGTAGGGGAATATATTCCAATTGTGCAGATATGTATCATGTTTTGGATTTTCCATTATCCTTAGTGATGAAGGGAGAATAAATAATATGTCTGAATCATACATTTAAGCTATTCTTCCATTTTTTACAAAGAAAACAATAACGACATCAATAAGTCCTTGGCGTCCCTGATAATATTTGAAATTGTAATTAGTGGCTGTGCCATCTGATCTCTTCGAAGCATCTGCCTTTTAGTTTGAGGACAGTACAAAATGGATCAGTAGTTTT